AAAATGACTCGAAATCGATCCGTTTCAAAAGGAATCTGCGCGATCGGGAGTTTCACGTGAGGGCGAAAGATTTCCTATCAAATTTCTCTCATTTATTACATTTATTTATTTAAGACTGTGCTTTTGACAGGGTCAAAGTAACATAGTGAAATAATAAGTAAAAATTTTACACTGTTGCTCAGGGAAATTTGCAGCCAAAACGGAGTCCCTTCAAAAGGAATCCACGCGATCGAGACGATCCAGTTTCGCATGAAGGCGAAAAAGTTCCCCTCATAAATTTTGCTAATTTTCAAATTGTTTTATTTGATTTTATTTATTTATTTATTTTTTGAACGTGACTTCTGTGTGAGCTGCGCTATATTATGGAAGCCCGTTTCAGCCACTGAATAAAAAATAAAAAAGGTAATTTGAGACTCTTTTTCTTAATTCTGACTTTTTTCTCGCAATTGAGTTCATTTCTCGCAAGTCTGACTTTATTTCTCAGAATTGCGAGTTTAAATCTCGCAACCGACTCTACTTCTTGGAATTGCTATTCTGAGACAAAAAGAATTGCGAGATAAAAAAAATCAATTACTTTTTTAAAATTGTATTTACACTGTAAAAAATGATTGTGATTTTAACAGCAAAAGACTGTAAAAATGCTACAGTAAAAACCTGTTAACTGATTAACAGTAAGTTTCCATACTATATTCGGTGAATAAATGTAATTACATTTAATGTCATTTTACAGTAAAATACTGTTAAAAATAAGTTTTTTGGAAGTGAAAAAGAAAAATTAATTTTATAATTTACAGTAACATACTGTAAATTGACACTCCCAGAATTCCCTGCATGATACTTCATATTTGATGTTTTTTTTGTTGAAATAACATGTTTTTTCTTAGTTTTTTTCTTATCAGTTGTGTACGAAGTAGGGAAGTCGTGGCCTAATGGTTAGAGAGTCGGACTCATAACCCAAAGGCTGTGGGTTCGAGTCTCATACCGGCAGGGATTGTAGGTGGGGGGAATGAATGTACAGCGCTCTCTCCCACCTTCAATATCACGACTGAGGTGCCCTTGAGCAAGGCACCGAACCCCCAACTGCTCCCCGGGCACCACAGCATAAATGGCTGCCCACTGCTCCGGGTGTGTGTTCACGGTTTGTGTGTGTTCACTGCTGTGTGTGTGCTCTTTGGATGGGTAAATGCAGAGCACTAATTCCGAGTATGGGTCACCATACTTGGCCACATGTCACTTCACTTTACATTAGGGTTTAATCTTACATCTAATGTTGTTAAATTAATGTTTACTGCATTATTTCAGAATCATGTGTGTCACCGTGATGGTGTTTAGTGTTTATGTGAATGACACTGTGCACCTTCTATATATAAGTATTGTCCTCCTCAGCTCGTAGAAAAGCTGTTTGTGATGAGCTTTGGTTCATCGTGTGACTTTCTCATCACCACCAGATTTTGGTGGTTATCAGTGCATTACAATGATTCAAAACAGATATTAGTACTTCAATATTCTGGTTTATTAACATTACATCAGTTCATGAAATACGGTATTTTATTGTGAATTTAAGTTAAGTCTGTAAAACCTAAAATGTTGCTACCATATTTTTTACGGTGAAGTTCTGGCAACCACAGCTGCCGGTATTTTACCGTAAATGTCACAGATTTTTTTTTACAGTGCGGTGGCGGAAACAGGCTTCCATACTTTATAAAACATTGCTGCCCTATTGACAATGTTGGAACTTTTTTCCCGGTGAAATTTTGTTGAAACATCGCTAATGTGACCGCTAGTGATTTCAACAAAAGGACCGAAAGAAGCCACCTAGCAACCACTCAAAACACCCTAGCAACTGCGTAGCAACACCCTGGAATTGTGTCGGTGAGTGTTGCAGCTTCCTCAGACAATGAAATGTAAATGCAATCTAGTCACTGTGTTTTCTATGTATGATATTGTTATAGGGTACAAATGACATGAACTCTTATAAATGAATTATTTAAACTCTTTTTACAGGCTTTTAGATGATTACTTGTACAAAGACATCAGATCAAGTGCAGTTAATCCTTAACATGCTTTGTTATTAATCTAGATTAATGACTTGACTTACTTTAATTATGGATCATTGTCCAGCCAAAGATCTGACTATTCAGATGAGTTATGCCAAAAGCATCAGGTCGTTCTTCATCTGGCGCAGACATACAGCTAAAATAATTAGTTGAGTGAATTGAGTTGTTTAAGAGTTCACAAACGGACCTTTCCCTGAAAATGAGATGATGTCAAGAAATCAACGCATGTCATTTATAGGAATTTACCGGGCAAAAATGAAAATATAGCTCGTAAATGATGACAAAATGGTCTGTTTTAGGTGAACTATTCCAATAAGGTTGTGAAATGTCATGTTTGAAATCTGCTATGAGCAGATAATCATGATTTCAGAGGCCTGACAGATGCTTGACACGAGCTTGTGTTGTGTTTAAAGAGGGCTACTCGAACGACACGCTTCATGAAGCTTGGGGTCTTGAAAATCAAGGGTTTTGGTGGAATCAGCAGAGTTTGACTCTTCACAGTCAGTGAGCAAAACCCAGCAGAGTCGAGTACACGGGGGAGAGTGAACACAGCCGACTGGAAACACACAGACAAACGCCTCGCAACACAACACCGCCGAGACTAGAGGTATGAAATATAGCAGTAATATTGTGAAATATTTTTACGGTTTAAAATAAGTGTTTTCTAATTTTAATATATTTTAAAATGTAATTTATTTCTGTGATCAAAGCTGAATTTTCAGCATCATTACTCCAGTCTTCAGTGTCACATGATCTTCAGAAATCATTCTAACATGCTGATTTGATGCTCAAGAAACATTTCTGATTATTATCAGTTGAAAACAGTTGTGCTGCTTCATATTTTGTGGAAACCATGATACATTTTATTTTTCAGGATTGTCTGATGTATAGAAAGTTTGAAAGAACAGCATTTATTTGAAATGAAAATCTTTTGTAACATTATAAATGTCTTTACTGTCACTTTTGAACAATTTAATGCATCCTTGCTGAATAAAAGTAAAAAAAAAACTCACCCCAAACCTCTGAATGATAGTGTTTGCAATAATTTATAAATTATTTTTGATTAAATGTATTCATTTGTTAGCTGTTAAGAAATTAAAAAAATTAAAAATCAACACAATATATTTTGCATAAATATAATTAAACAAGGCCAAATTAACAGTACCCTATAGGATACAGATTACAGTATACTGTAACACAAATAAGAATTGTATTTCTGTAATGTACAATTGTAAAGTAGATGGTAATATTTGTTAAGCTAAATTTAATTGATGTTGAAGTTTCAGCTGATACCAATGCTGATATACAAATAATATACAATGGCAGATTATATGTGCTGAATATTAAAGAAATGTTATACTTTTTGACTCAATATTTCTCCAAGCTCATTTCAAGTACTTATGCTTTTGGGACAAGATATGAGAGATTCCTTCTCTAAAATCGTATTTGTAAAATACACCATTATTAATCATAGTTTATCACTATAATGTTTATTCCATAGTGTGTGCGGTAGATCACATAGAGTACAGAATAAATAGTGTTAATTATTCTGCAGTGAAAGTAAATATCACGTCTGTGCTCAAAGTTTATTTTTCTGTCATTTGACATTTATTGCACTTATTTTTAGTCAATTAAAAGCATTTCTCTTGTATTCCAGGTCAGCGGAGACATGGCTGGTATTCTGATGCAGTTAACCTCTGTCATGATATGCTGCAGTCTGAGCACAGATTCATCTAATTCATCTCAGCGTATGTGGCATCTTTCACATGCCTTTCAGCTCATATGTGATACTGAGACGTCTAGACCAGTGTTGTGGAAAGTTACTATTAAAAGTAATGCATTAAAATATTGCGTTACTCTCTAAAAAAGTAACTTATTGTGTTACTTAGTTACTTTTTATGGGAAGTAATCCGTTGCGTTACTTTTGCGTTACTTTTTCTTGTCTGGCATTGGGGTTGCTTGTTTTTTTGGGATTAAATATGCAAAGGATTTTTGTGTTAACTTTTAATTATTGCAGATTTGTGTAATATTCTGAGCTTCTGAGTAACTCAGATATGTTCTTGTACATTAAAAAGCAATGTGTTACTTTACTAGTTACTTGTAATGTGTTACACCCAACACTGATCTAGACATAGTAAGATGTTCTTCAGATCAGTGATTTGTGGTTAATTGCCATTCCTTGTACCAAATAAGCAAAGACCTCCAAGTGGGATTTGGCAGCAATTACCAGAACTCAACGCGGCGACTTATTTGTATAGCCAGCTGGTGACGGATTCATCACGGGTTATTTTGTACCTACTGACATTTAGTTCGGACGTTTTCAGACCCAATGTTCCAACCACATCTGGTCCCTGACATCTGGTGCCAAATTTCTGTAATGACATCTCCTGCGGAGGCCCTTGGGATATTTCCCAAGAAATTGCAGGTCTCGGCACGTAATAGGAGGGTCAGATGGTGAGCGGGATGGCATAGTTAAGCTGCTGTCTTCATGTAAAGAGTAGATGGGTTGTTGGTTTGTATTGGGATGCGTGTTATGTCGACAGAAGATTCCCAGTGGGAATGTCGTCCTGATTTTCGTCCTCTGGTTTGTTCGTGCCGTCAGCCCCACCGGAAGATCATGCTGGCTTTGATGCCACACAGTCAGAGGTGAAATGGGGATGTTTCTCGCAAACCCCATGTTTTTTAACTAGGCATGAATGTCAAGACGTCAAATTATAGTCTATATTCGTAAGCCCACCCTTGGGACATTATATTAATGTAAAACCTGAGTTAATCTGAATATTTTACATTTCAAAGCACATCACTAAAGGACATGAGCAGTTCAGTTAAATTTTCAACACTGACACTTTGTTTGCAATGATAATGTGGATTTCTGGGAGGATTTGTCTTGATGTCACAATATAGTACAGGCGTCACAGCCTCAAGTTGTTAATTACTTTTATAAATTGAAAGCTACCACAGTAGTTTATATACATACACACACACACATACTATATATATATATATATATATATATATATATATATATATATATATATATATATATATATATATATATATATATATA